CTTTAATTTTAAGACCCTTGAATTAGTGAATTTTGGGAGATGGGGTCAGCCTGTCCTTAGATTATACCTTCTGTTCAAGTTCAAGTTCTCCTCTGGCAGATGACAGACCTACCATAAGTAATTACACTAGATCTTGTTTCATAAGCACTTACCATGTGATCACATTTCACATTTAACGTGATCTATAGAAATGTTAACTGCAATCTTACAAACAAGGAATTTAAAACTCAAGCAACGTAGCTCATTTTCCAAGGGATACTCACTTAGATAGGGAAGGAGCTGGTGATTTTTACTTCAGGTCGATGATGTATTAGGTGACAGCTGATCTTCATTTCCTCATGACTGGGCAGTTTGCCCAAGCATAGGACTTTCTCTGGTAAAACTAGTGTGGTGTTACTGAGTGCCCCTGAGTAGATTCTGAGTCATAGCAAGTCTACAGGACAGAGAAGAACTGTCCCCTACACTTTCCTGTCAGCTAATTGTTACAAGAGCAGATAGTCTGATCCTTGCTTCTGAGTGGGTTTGAATAATCTAGCAATGCTTAATCTTTCTGCCATCTAAACCCAACCAGACCCCTTGACACTGAGGCAATTCCAACTCATAAAGACACTATAGGACAGTATAGAAGTGCTTCCTAGGGTTTATGAGACTATAAATCTTTAAGGGATCAGACAGCTTTACCTTTCTCCCTCAGAGAGATGGATGGGTTTGAACCACCCACTTTACTGTTAGTACCCAAAGCTTCCCTGACATCACCAGGGTCTGTGGTCATATGAAATACTTAACTGACTACATCAAGTCAATTGTGACTCATGCTTTTCTTATAGGACAGCAGAACTGCTCCTATGGGTCCAAGGCATGCATCTTTAAGGGAGCACAAAGCCTCATCTTTCTCTAAGCAGCCACTGGTGGATTTGAACTGCTGACCTTTAGGTTAATAGCTCAATGTGTGACCCACTACACCACCAGGGCTCCTTAAAACGGATGTTGTTTTTACAACACAGGGCAGTGAAGCTACTTACTACTCTAAAAATTTAAGCCTTTAGGGTGGTGCCATTGGACATCTCTCTGAGGTATAGCCTGGCTAGTTAAAGACCTTTAATGTGGGGACCAGTGAGAATCAGTGAGGCTGAAGCTTAATTTCTGTTGTGTTTGTACTGAATTGATTAGTTCTCAACCTCAGTTGAGTCTCCGTAAGATGAAGCGGGTGGGGAAGCTTGATCATTCTAGGCTTAGCCAGTTCTAGCTTTTAATTTCTATGAAATCCCTTAGGAGGAGAAATGGCAGACAGGGAGGAGTCACTCATTGCCTCCCTAAGGCTCCAGTCACCTGACTGAGCCCTTGGACTTCCGAAGCCCTGAGAGACTTCCAAAGGCAGCTTTGTAGAGACCAGGGTTTAGCGGCAGTGCAGCTGAGGGCGGACTATGTGGCGCCCTCGGTGTTTCTCATCTTGAGAGGCACTTCACCTGCTTCTCTCCTCCTCCACCAAAGCCATCCAGGGAGGTAAGTCGGGACTTCAGCAATTCCTTCACAGAGGCGATAGCACTTCCTCTGGAGCTCAAAAATCCCAACGCACTCAGAGTCAAACCGTGTGAAGAAGGAGAGGCTATATGTGACTGATCATAAGAAATGTTGCTCCAATTTTTGCTCCAACACTCATTTTACTAACCGAAAGCCTATGGTACCTGAAATCCTGCTACCTTGACCCCATGTCTTCTGCTTTAGTTAGCAGTTTCTATGATGTAGAAACCTGGCCCAGAGAGGCATTTTCTGAAGTTTTGTTTGGTGAGAATTCTTCAGTCCAGTCTACTCATTGTTCAGGTCAGTTCCTGTTCTCACAGATACGAGAAAAAGGTCTGAGACCAAAGAAGAAAGCCGTGGTTGAGACCCTGACAGTGAGAGGACAGGGTGGAGGGGGTGAGGGACCCCCACTCCTGTGGTGCTGTTAATGCATGACAAGGCACAACTGCTCTGCAGGTTTGCAAGGCTGTGAACTTGTGGGAGCATGCTACCGAGCTTGTCCTCCACCTGCCACGGCGGGTTTGGATGCTGCCCTGTGGCCCACAGTAGCGTCTGTCCTGAACCCTGGGTGTCCCTGAGGGAATTCCTGTCCTCCTGCTCTACGGGTGCTGTTCCTTCTTTGTCATTTACTCTGTGAACTCCTTGCACCAGAGACCTGAATACGAACTTGAAGCCTTACTCTATTGCTTTTCCTGTATTACAGTTCTGAAAGGAAGGTTTGAAGAAGTTAAATATAATCACAGCTATTTTGTGGCAAAGCTGAGATAAAAATTAATTGGATGGATATTAAAAGAGTAATTTTACTTATCTGAATTCAATGTACCTTTGAAAAATAAAGCTCACTGGGGGGGGGGGCGGGGGGAGCTAATAACAAGGAGTACATGAAAGAAAGAAATGTGATAAATAGATGTGGTAATGATTGTACAACTTTTCTTGATATGATTAAACTATTGAATTGTGTGACATATGGATTATGTCCCAATAAATCTGTTTATAAAAATTCAAAAGGTAAAAATATAGCTGCTTAGAATCCCTGCTGGTATGATGATTCAGTCAGAAATCGATGTCAAATGACTTTAACAATGAAGATGAAGAACAAGGGAAACAAAACCATGGGAGCCTATAATTTATTGATTGACACAGAACCTGTGACATCATGTTCCCATCAAGGGACGATGGTGAGGATGGTGTCCGGTTGGGGAGTGCTTTGTTCTGCTGTACGTACAGTATTGCCAGGAGTTTGAACTGACTCTACTGCATCTAGCTACAGCAGCATAATTTATTGCAGGCGCTCTGGTTTGGTGATCAAACACTCGGCAGCTAACTTGAATGGTGGCAATTCAAGCCCACCGGCTACTTCAGGGGAGAAAGGCCTGGCAGTCTGCTTCAGTAAATATTGCTGTCTTGGGACCCCTATGAGGCAGTCGTACACTGTCCGACAAGAGAATTAGGAGTCAAAGTGATCTCAAAGCAACAAGCTTATAATTCAGTGGGGCAGGGGGAGAGAAAGACACTCAAAAATAGCTGAGCATATATTATCATTCTAAAGTATGGTAAGGGCCACAAAGAAAAGTATGTGGAAATGTGCATCCCAGAGACATACAACCATAAGCAAAGTAGTAATGAAAAATTAGCAAAATTAAAAGATAGTGAGTTCTCAGGCAGTGTGGCTGCTACTATATAACTTTGTTAAAACCAAACCCAAACTTACTGCCATTACATCAATTCTGACACACAGTCCCCCGGCATAGGTTTCCTGAGACTAACTTTAAGGGATTGGCAGCCTCATCTTTCTCCCGCAGAACAACAGGGGAGTTTTATGGTTATTAGTCTAGGACCCACTCCACAGGGTCATGAGGGCACCTCATGTCAGGATAAGGATATTGAAATTTTTATTCACATCTCATGGAGACTTTTGAAAGGTTTTCAGTAGAAGCGTATCAGTATTTGACACATTAAAAACACATTTTATCTGGTTTCTGAAGAATGAATTAGAGAAAGACATGACACTAAGCCAAGCAATCAGCAAGATAACCCCTTGTAGCCTTCCTGGTTAGGGACATCGAGGGATGGCTGGCAGTTGGACGTGAGATGGAGAGTGGAGGACGGGGTTCAATATATAGTGGAAAGGTGGTAATAGATTAAGTCTGATAGGATAGATTATAACAGATATCAAAGATGCTTCTTGTATTTTTCTGGCTTGCTCATCAGGTGGTGAGCTTTAACAAGATGGATGTTTGAAAGGAGCAAAGGTGGTGATTGACAAAGTGTACAATTTTGTTCTGCTTAATTTGTAATTTGAACTACTAAAGTTGTTAGTCAAACAGGGAGTTGGATGCTTGAATCTAGAGCTAGAAGAGAAGTCTAAGCTAGAGAGACAAATTTAGAAGTCATTGACACAAAGGGAAGACAGGAAAGCTATTAATAAGAGAAAACTTTCAGATCATTAGTTGTAAGGCAGAACAAAGAAGCAAGCGACAATTATAAGGACAGGTGGGATCAATATAGAGGTTTTTGTTTGTTCCTTTTCCTAGATCAGTATCTGCTGAGACTGATTCTCAGTGAAAGAAGACACTGGCAGGGAATGCCGAATATTTGAAGGCTTATAGAAGTCATCTCAACCCTTGGCTATCAAGCTTGACTCCACACTGGAATCACCTGCAAAGTTTTTAAAAAGCAATACTTTTTAGATTCCTGAGTCTTACCATCCGAGGGTCTGATGTAATTGGTATGGAGGAGGCCTAGATGAAGGGATTTTTAATAGTCCCTCCTTTAATCTAACATCCTATATAGCTTGATCTGAAAGAGAGAAATAGCATGTGAGCATACAGGGGAGAAAGCCAAGAAAAACCAGGGGTGAGGGAACATAAATGCCTGGGCTCGCTCTTGCTGAGTAAGTGACGAGAGACAGCATTTATAGGAGAGTGGGGGGCAGGGTGTTGGAGGGACGCTTTAGTGCAGAGACTCTAGAGAACAGAAGTATTTAAGAACGCGAACAGGAAGTACTACACCAAAGGAGAGAAATCAGTGTGTGGAGAGTGCTAAGGAGAGATTTACTCACTTGTTAGACATCATTGTAGTTCAGAAATAAAAGGGAAATATAATTTACTTTTTTCATTGGCGAAAATCCATGTATATAGCACATAGTAATGTAGATAACAAATAATCTATGTAAATAACACAAAGATAGGAAGCAAGAGACAATGTCCGAAGAAATAGTAACCTATTTTCTTTGGTAAAACAGCTGTTGCCCGAGGTGGATCCTTCGGATGGCAGAAGGCCAGAGATGCAACCGGTGACTCCTGACCTCCCTTTTCTTGGCTCTTCCACGATTTTTGGAATTTGCACTGGAGTCTGAATATAATTCTCCTGCCCAACCTGAGGACACTGACCTCTCGTGGTCTTCGCATCTTCCACCGTCTGACTGAATCACCACTCTGATCGAGTTTCCTTCAAAAGGCACTCACACAGTGACCCTCATGGGAAATGCTGGGACTAACATCTCAGACACCCCCAGCTTCATGTTAACCGGCTTCCCAGAGATGGGGGCTCTGGAACCCTTGCTGACAGCCGTACTCCTGCTGCTCGGTGCTGGCTCTGTCCTGGGAAACACTCTCATTCTGTTCATCGTGAAGGAGGAGCAGAGCTTGCACCAGCCAATGTACTATTTCCTCTCCCTGCTGGCTGTCAATGACCTGGGTGTGTCCTTCTCTACCTTGCCCACTGTGCTCGCTGCCCTGTGCTTTCATGCTGCGGAGGCTGCATTTGATGCCTGCCTGGCTCAAATGTTCTTCATCCACTTGTTCTCCTGGACAGAGTCTGGGATCCTTCTCGCCATGAGTTTTGACAGATATGTTGCTATCTGTAACCCTTTGCGCTATTCGACAGTGCTCACCGATGCCTGTGTTGCTTACATGGGTCTGTTCATCATCACTCGAAGCTTCTGTATGGTTTTCCCACTGCCATTTCTCCTGAAGAGGCTGCCTTTCTGTAAGGCCAACCTGCTGACCCATGCCTACTGCCTACATCCAGACTTGATCCGCCTGCCTTGTGGAGATACCACAATCAACAGCTTGTATGGCCTGGTCATTGTCATCTCTGCCTTTGGAGTCGACTCTGTGCTCATCCTTCTCTCCTATGTGCTCATACTGCGCTCTGTGCTGGCCATCGCTTCCCGGGAGGAGAGGCTTAAAACCCTCAACACATGTGTGTCACACATCTGTGCTGTGCTCATCTTCTACATGCCCATGATTAGTGTGTCTATGGTACACAGGTTTGGAAAGCATGCCCCTGAATATGTACACAAGTTCATGTCCTTGGTCTACCTCTTTGTTCCTCCAATGTTGAACCCAATTATCTATTCCGTCAAGACTAAAGAGATCCGCAGGAGGCTGCATAAGATATTATTAGGAACCAAACTCTGAGCAGTGAAAGACCATATAGAAAATTCAGGTACCCTAGGCATTAGATAGTATTGGTGATGTTTAGTTGATCTAGAATGGTCCTTTAGAGGATATCAATCTTCTCCTTTACATTGACCTACAATGGGGTACCTAATATTAATTACATGAAGTAGCCTGGCTATAAGCTATAACTGTGTACCACATCGTAACTAAACATGCCACAGATTATTAAAAACTTCTCTTAGACCCAACATATAAGATGATCTTTGATTAAGTCATTTTCCCCCACCAATATATTACTAACATCTATGCTTTCAAGTAAATTTTCTTTTTAAAAAAAAACCAGACACAACAAAAATGTATTCATGTAAACCATATTATGATCTTGGATTATGTTTCCTAGAATTATAGGCACTACCTAGGCTTTCTAAAGGAATGATAATTCTAAATATATTTAAACTTTAGCAAGTGATGATATGGAATAGCTATAATCAACTTTCCATGCTTGAAATACATCAGAGTGCTCTCTGAGTTCTATATAATGAAATGGAAAACATATACTTGCTACTCAATTACATCATATTATACACATGTACATATACTCCTAAAATTCAGAATATGACAGCCAAGAGACAAGTTGAGGGAAATAAATCATCCATATGTTATCATCTCTAGAACATGACTGGGGGTGAGGGGCTAAAGATCTTCTAGGGAACTGGTAGCACTCTAACGAGAAGGCTAGTAGATGCTGATGGGGCAAGTGTTTTTCAGTAGCAATATTCGTGTCCCACAATCTGCTGAAATATGGCCATTCAGGTACTTCAGTGAGCAGCCCAGTCTAGAGATTTTAATGCATGCCACAGCCAAGGAGAGGTAGTAGAAAGACATCAGGAAGGTCGTAGTGTCCAATCCCGAGGGCAGTAGCTCATGAAGAGAAAGAAATCCACAGCAAATTCATGCAGATCCGTGGAATGCAGACTTCCTAGGCTAGTCAAAAATTGTCAGAGGTAAGCACAAGACCGCATCCCTTCCACTGGCAAGACAGGCTACAGCATAACTCACCTCGGACAGAGAGTTTTGGGAAAGCAGAGACTTGGGCAAAGAGTGAAAGCCAGCATTACTTTAAAATAGCTATTCTAGTTTTCCTTCTTTTTCTGAAAGGATCATAAAACAATTTTTCTAAAATAAAGTCAGAGGGGATCAGTGAAATAATCATGGTCTGAGTATAGCAAGAGGATAGATATGAATCTCTCTCAAATACCTTCTGAAGGTGAGATTAAACAACAGATAGATGGGAAGAAAATCCAAAACCTAGTCAATGGAGAAATCCCAAGAATCCTAGAACAAATTGGATTTTGCCAAATCTTAGGGAGCATTAAGGGTTGTATACAATTGATTGAATAGTGGGGAGCAGAAAGGTGAACTGGATTAGTAGATGAGATAGTTAGTAGACTTTACTCTAACAAGCAAAAGCAAAAGATAAAAGAAAACAAAAATACGACAACACATTTCAAAACCACACCAACCCCCCAAAGGATTTTACTCTAAGTAACTGGAGCCTGGTGGCATAATGGTTATGTGCTGGGCTGCTCACTGCATGGTCAGTAGTTCAAAATTACCAGCTGCTCTGTGGGTGAAAGAAACTCTCTACTCCTGTATAGAGTTAGCATCCTAGGAGCTATGTGGCAATTCTACCCAGTCCTAGTAGGGTCACTTTGAGTTGGAATCAACTCAATGGCATTGGGTTTGGTTTGGGATTGGTATTGTAAGTGAACTTGGTCAAATGGATTTGTAATTGGCTGGTTAAACTGGAAAATCCCTTATAATTTTCAAGTGCTCATGCCATTAATTAATCAAGCAGAACTGTGTTGTTCTAAGCATTTGAGAATCTCAGTCATATTCAGCAAATGAGTTCTTGTAAAAGGATATAGCTTCAGACCAAATGAAACCAAATTAAGCAGTTAAGGTTCACTGCAATAAGAGAGGGAGGTTCTGAGAGTAGAGAGCAGGGACAGGAGAATCAGAAACACTGAAATCATTGAGAGCTGGAACCTGTGCATCTCAGAAACCAGTCAGAGAAGGAAAACTTAATCATTTCCCACTCATACAGAAAGACAGAAAAGTGATGAGACTACGCTTGTCAAAGGCAGGAAGTTTGCATGAACCTGACACACAAGGTCGTCTAGTAGCACGTCGCAGGTTTTACTGCAGAGTGAGGTGGGTAGCAGTTGGGTCTACCCCGTGGACACAAGGTCGATGGAGAGGTGGAATAGACAGCTGGGGAAACAGCATTCTCTGGAGCCAAAGTCGGAAGATCCTTGCAAAAGTTGTGAATAGAACAGTGGGTGAAGGGCAACGTCGGACAGTGTAAGATATGACAAAATAATAATAATTTATAAATTATCAAGGGTTCATGAGGGAGGGGGATGTGGGGAAGGAGGGGGAAAAATGAGGAGCTGATATTAAGGGCTCAAGTAGAAAGCAAATGTTTTGAGAATGATAATGGTAACAAATTTACAAATGTGCTTGACACAATGGATGTATATATGGGTTGTGATAAGAATTTTACAAGCGCCCAATAAAATGATTTAAAAAAAATTACCATTCTACGTACCATAGTATTTTATTCTGTGACATAGTGGTTACGTGTTGGGCTGCTAACACTCAACTCAGCAGTTTGAAATCCGTGGCTGCTCCTCTGGAGAAAGAGAGGGCTTTCTAATGCTGGAGTTCCAGTCTGAGAAACGCACAGAGGCAGTGGTACCCTGTCTTTAAAGGCCACCAGGAGTCAGCACTGACTCAAGATCAGTGAGTTTGGTTTTGGTTTATATCTGGCTGAAGTTTGAGAGAGTGCCTTAATATTTGTGTTGAAAATAAATCCAGGTTTGATGAAAAGAGACTCAATTTTCCAATTTATAATGTTAAGCATGCTTTTTACATTATCTGTAAAAATGTTCTTATAGATTCTTGGACTCCAAATGTTGACTATTATCTCCTGTTGAATGTAACAATCAAATTCAAAGCTTTGCTTTATAATTAACATGTAAAACATGATCTATATTTAAGACCAGTTTTGTAATTTTGATTATATCTATTTCCCAGGAATGTCTTTGCTGTTTCAGATTTATTCTACTTCCCCCTTCTACATTTAATCAAAGGTTTGACAATTGAACTACTGACTCTCAGATTTTTATGTTAACATCCTCCAACAGGTTTTGTTTTAACAGTGTCATAATATATATTTTTAAAAAGCCACTTGGCTATCTTTCAAGTTGTATCCTGTTTAAATTTTACAGAAGAATTTGCTTCAGTGGGTGACTTTGGGCTTGACTATTAACACTAGTAATGAACATCGACTCTGAGCCACAGTGGCTTATGTGCTAGCTTTCATTGCCAAAGTTTGGTTCACCCCTCAAGGCTTTTTTTCCATCTGTAATTAAGGGACAGTTGTATTAAATACATAGCTTGTGGTTACCAGCCTTTGTTCTGCCTCCACTCAGTTGATGTGAACACCCCATTTGTACACATAACACCCTTCCTTATACTTCAGTTTTTCAAAACTACTGTAGAGTGAGAATTGTATTTAAAGGAAACATCGAATTTATAAATATATTCACAAAATATCTTGCTTTGTCCTTTCCATTTCTCTTTAAGTTTCTCCCACAAACCCCAGTAACTGGACCCCAAGATCACTGAGGCCCCAAAGACAATGTTATGATGAGCATATGATAGATTTCAATAAATATTGTAGAGCAAATAAAATAATTAATTAACTGAAATGTCACCGAAAGGCAAAAAAGCAAAACATAAAAAAGGCCAAGCTCAGAAGAAAACTCGTTTGCTCCTAAGATTCTTTCCACTTTTGTCTTTTCTTTTAACCAGCTACAGGTATTTTAGACCTTGCACCTGGAATGAGGCAGTGGCCAAAAGCTGCATTTCTCTCGATAGTGACGTTTGAGACAACCCTTCCTGAATGGTAAGGCTGGTAGTGATGTATGAGGTTAAGACTGTGTGGTAAGCATTTAAAAAATTCTATTATTTAAAATCCATTTTTCACCTGAAATTTTAATAAAGTTTGTCACACACTAATGCTTTGATTAAGAGGTAAAGATATCTAGAAACTTACAGAAACTTTTAGCTAGGGATTGAGCTTCCTATTTAAAAAGTATTTGGGCCTTCTGTAAATTGCAGTGGAATATCTAAAGTCAAGATATGAATTACACATAAGGATCACCAAATAGATCATTTGTTTTCTTAAATATGTTTGAAGAACATATCTTCTATTTAGGATAGAGAAAAAATATGAGAAAACATTTTGTATTATAATATGAATATCACTGTGGTTAAGTGAATTTCATTACTATGGCTCTTCTATGCATTTCTGTATAACTCCCACCAAATGGGACTATGCAAATTAAATGTGGAGAACTCTAACTTCGGAATTGGTCAGTTTTGTCATCCCCCTGTGTCTAAGAGAGCCATCTCAGAAGCAGGGACATGGAGAATTCCCAAGATCTTCAAGGAAGACGAGCTACCAATAGACCATTTTTTAGATCCCTCCTTCCCTAATGCAGTGGAAGCAATAAAGGCCATACCCTGCTGCGACCAGAGACTGAAGTAAGGAGACCATGAGACGGAGGAACAACACGCAGACTGAGACTGTAAGGAAGAGCAGTGGGTGGACTTCTTGCCCCATGGAGGCAGAGGTGAAGGGACTATGAGGCTGAGAGGCTGAGGACCAGAGAGAAAGATGTGGCTGCTGATTGAGAAGAGACAACGCTGTGGACTATTGACTGTATTCTTAGTGTTTTCTGCTCCTGGTTTGTGATAACCTGCTGTGCTAAGCTAGGTTATCTAGATAATGAAAACCAGTGACAAGTAAGAAGTAAATTCCTATCAGGAAGGCATCCCAGCCCAGTTCAATTCAAGTTCGTAGGTCTGATGTTAACTGGGATGCTCCATCTTTAGGATCATGTAACTGCAGGCCAATGATGCCAAAAGGCAAAGCAGGAAGCAGGGAG